GGGAAAAACTGATGTCTGGGGAGACTGGCATGGGTTATGATGCAGCCACAAATAGGGTGTTGGCCTCTTATGAGTGGTGGCAACAAAAATACTGGTAATTATTTGTGTTAGTTGAGTTTTAATTTTGAATATCAGAAGGAACAGCGCTTAATTATGCCTAATTATGTTCATGTAGGTGGACCCTAATTTCAAGAAATTTAGACATCAGGGGCTGATGTTTGCATCAGATCTGATGAAATATTCAGAGATGTTGTGGCTTCGGGAGAGTATGCGTACGCACCATCAGCCTCACAGCCTCAGCCAGCGTTTGCTCCACAGCCTGACACAGAAGAGGAGGATGTTTATAGAGTCGGGCTAGACCAACAAGAAGGGTCAGGGGATAGTGAGGATGAAAACTTTGGTGTGGACCCAACAGCCAGTGCCTTCACAAATGACTTCGCTGCTTGCAACATAAACACCCCCGCAAGTACTGGACCAAGTGGCTCAGGAAGCTATGGAAAGAGAAAGAGGGGTGAGACATCAGATGCAAAGAAGAAGAAGAAAGTTGCTGCAACTACATTAATTTCTGATAGCCTGAGTGTCATAGCAGCTGCTTCTGACAAGCGAGCAGTAGCATTGGTTGAAGATCCCCAAATACTTGATAAGGTTTTGGCACACCTGACTACCGTTGAGGAGCTTAATGATGACAATCAACTATATTATGCATGTGCCAAGATGCTTACGCGGTTGAGGTGGGCTAGGCGAGCCTATTTGGGGCTTATGCATGATAGAAGCAAGTTGTTGAGGTGGTTGATACCGGCAGCACAAGACCCAGACACATGGAAGTGACCTGCAGAATAGGATTTAGTTTAGGACTTAGCTGTTTAACTATTGTTATTGCACTTGTTAACCTGAACTACCTGCTGTTTTAACCTAAACTGATGTGGCATGTTGTAGGAACTTTATTAATCATTATGTAATATATTTACGCTAATTTCTACTTGTCATCTATGCGTTTGGTTTTTCTGTTTGCAGTATGAAAATTATTTACACTTTGTTTAGTGTAATCCTTATAATGCTTACATTTTGTTTTCACCATAATTACAGGGTTAATTCCAGAAATGGCTAATTGGAACGATGATTCACCATGGAATGAAGATACTTTATGGAATTGGAATAACGATTCACAGCCAAATGAAGATGACCATTCAACCATAATTAATGAGGAATTAACACAATATGAAGCAGTAGGTGCATTGGTTGGTCATTATTGTGAAATGTACATGTTTAAACAACCGTGCAGAACTAGTGAGCAGACAGGAAATTTATGGGTACAAGGCATTATGAATGGGCATGATGATCGATGTCATGAAATGTTTAGAATGGATAAAGATGTTTTCCACCTCTTATGTACTAAATTGGTGGAACATGGTTTACAAAAGTCTAAGTACGTAGGAATTGAAGAAATGGTTGCGATGTTTTTAAACACGGTTGCACATGGACAATGCAATAGGATGATCCAGGAACGATTTCAACGATCAGGGGAAACTGTAAGTAGGCACTTTCATAATGTACTGCAAGCTTGTCTTAGCCTATCGAGTGAACTTATTCGACCCATAGATCCAACATTTCGTGGAACTCATAGAAAAATTGAGAACGATCCACGTTACTACCCATTTTTTAAGGACGCAATCGGAGCAATTGATGGCACTCATATACAATGTGTTGTCCCCGCTGCAAAACGAGACAAATTTATTGGCAGAAAGGGATATCCATCACAAAATGTCATGGCTGTATGTGACTGGGATATGTGTTTCACTTTTGTCTTGGCAGATGGGAGGGATCTGCACATGATGCTCGTATATTTGATAGTGCTATTACAAATTCATCTCTTAATTTCCCTCATCCACCTCCAGGTATATGTTTATGTGTTCCAATCATGCATGTTCTTTTAATTATTTCATACTTTTATTCATTTCACAATCTCTCAAATTGTTTCATGAATCATTAGGGAAATATTACTTGGTTGATGCGGGATATCCAACACCAAATGGATATCTAGGTCCATACAGATCTGAGCGCTACCACCTTCCAGACTTCCGACGACAAGTAGGATTCCGAAGTAGCAACGAAGCCTTTAATTATTATCATTTCAGTTTAAGGTGCACAATAGAAAGAACATTCGGTGTTTGGAAGAATAGATTTCAAGTCCTCCGAAATATGCGCAGTTACGACTTCCAAACACAAGTTTATCTGGTTTGTGCAACAATGGCTATTCATAACCTTATAAGGAGACATTCGAGCTCCGACTTGTTTTTTGAACAAGCTGAAAATGGTAATAATGTGGGCGAACATGATCAGGCTGAAGCTAGTCAACCATCATCTTCAAATGTTACATCACAGTCTTCATCGCATATGAATCGCGTCCGTGATGCAATCAGAGACCAAATTATCCATAGCTTATCTATTGATTAGTTATGTAATATTATTTAGTTTCACTTTATTGCAATACTGTAAACTGGAGTTAAAAACATGTTTACCCATTCAAATTATGTTTCGTTTTATATTTGCAATTTTTTTTCCATTTCTCTTATGTTTTCAAATTTAATTCTCTCGATCAATTTCACTTCTTCATATCAAATTAACAATAATTCACTGTATTATATCAATTCATTTTTTTTCATGTTTCACATTATATTTAAAATTTTTGTTATGATTTTTTTGAAATTTTAAAATTTAATTCACTCATTAATTTGACTTCTTCATAATAAATTATTTTAATTTCATTGTATTATGTCAAATCATTTTTTATTATCATATTTCATTATTTATTAACACTTATACCCATTTTAGTCATTTTATAACCAAACTCACTTTTACTCAACTATAATCCAAACACCTTTTTACCAATCTCACTTCTGCAAATTAGCTTTTCTGAACTCCAATCCAAACACAATTCAGCTTATCCAATTTAGCTTTTACCAACTTCACTTCTCCATAAGCTACTTTTCCTATAAGCTGCTTTTCCAATCGCTCATCCAAACAGACCCTAAATGAAACATTAGTTGGCAAACCTGAGCACGACGTATATGGTTATGTACGAATCACACCGGACATGAAGACAATACAGCACACCAACAATACGCAAATAACACTGTCCATGCATAATGAAACATATAATGTAATATACTAAAAACGTATTTTATGTATTAAAACTTATAATAACCCATAGATTGTTATATATATTGCATAGAAGAAAAAAAAACATTGGGATTGTTATGAATATTAAAGTATTACATGTATATCCATTATTATGTAATCTATTTTTCAATATCTTCATCATTCTATAATATTTCATATTAGGTTGTAAATTTATGCTTATAAATAGGGGTGGTAATACGGGCCAACCCGCGGGTTGCGGATTGACCCGTGATGGGTTCAACCCATATGAATCGGGTTGAAAAGTGCCATTAGCCAACCCTAACCCGCTAAAGTGGGTTGACCCGCTAACCCGTCAACAATTATTTACTTTTTAAAAAAAAATTTATCTTTTAATATATTTTTTTCTTATTCAATATTTTTTAAAAATATAATGAGAATTTTATTTTTTCTTGAAATATTTGATTGGAAGTACCAAATAAATTATATAGGTATTTTTTTAATTTTTTAGATATAGTATTATATATAATAATACAATTATAATAATTTTTAAAAATTTTAAAAATAAAAAATATATATATGCGGGTTGGCGGGCTAACCCGCAGCGGGTTGCGGGCCTGACGGTGCGGGTTGGAAAGATTCGTTTACTGGCGAGTTGGCTTTTAGCTAGCTATAACCCGTTATTTTTGACGGGTTGAAAATATTACCAGCTCTACTTATAAATAGAGGTTTGCGCATCTATTTGTGTGCGTATAAAGCTTTCTTTATTCTCTCATTCTCTCCTTTTTCTTTTCTCTCTTCAGTTATTATTCTTTTGCCGTGAAACCTTCATCATTCAAAAGGAGGTAGAGTATTGTTTTATTAATACGAATTCTATTCTATATGTTAAATAAAAGAGGCATTAATTAGAGATGTATACGAATTATTTGTTTGAATACTACTTGGAACATACGAAAGGTGTGCCACATCCAAAAATATGTGGCACACTTTAATTTCTAGAATAAATGGATTTTGAAGTTATTAGAATTTGAATTATGCATATAAAACATAAAGTGGATATCAGAATTATCTACATATAACATAAAAGTAGATCTTGAAGTTATGCATATAAAACATAACGTCCTGAAATTATTTAACAAACAGAGGACATCGCAAGAGTTGTGTGTGTATACTCCATTGCTTGCTTATTATAAGTTTCAAATAATTAATTCACGAATAGCGAATAATTAATTAAAATTAGTTAAAAGTAATAAATGAATTAGAAATAGATTTTGTTTTCAAATATGTTCTTATAATAAATAAATAAAAGGATGAAAGAGAATGTGTGAAGAAATGTGATAAGAGAGAAGTAATTAAGGACAATATTAAAAAAATTTATTAAATATTAGGACATATCCAAATTGAAGCTTATAAAATAAACCATATTCCTTTCCAAATTTAAAACTTATAAATAGGACTGAAGAGGGTATATATAAATAGTTAAATACTATTTCCAGCCTTTAATATAAGACACAAGTGTCTAATTTAGAAATATTAAAAAAAGTGAACAAATTATTTTAAAATATTTATATTTATCGTTTTTTCTTAAACTAATTTGCTAGACTTTGTTTTTTTTTTTGCCAATAAATTTTCTTGACTTATTAATTAATATATAATCTAATGATATATATATAAGTATTTTAAAAGAATATGTAACATATTAATTTATTTATATTTCTTAATTTTTATAAATTAATATTTGGCAAAAGAAAAAAAAAAGTATAACGGAGTCATGGGAGTTACTAGTATTACAAGTTTATAGCGCGGGTCACTTCTAATCCGAAGCCGCAAGCGCAGAGTGCAAATGTTAATGCTGTGTCTCGTTTGCTGGGCTTGATCAAATAGGGCAGCAATCTGATCTTCGTCCGTCCAAATCATTAAACTCAAATCTGACCGTTCGTCTCAGCCATCAATCTGTCCATTTATCTCAATCCACTATCCTCCACCTGTTTCCAAAACCCCAGACATCTTTTGTTGTGCCACCTGAATCCATGGCTCATACATCAGCGAGAATCCAATATTTAGAAACTAGGGCTTCATGTTTCCCAAATATTTTCCTCTGATCTTCTAATCTTGACGATTTTGCATTCAAGTTCCGAACTTGCTGACGATTTTGGAACTCCGAGATCCATTTGCTTAGCCCATGAATGCCCAGTCTCAGATCTTGCAAAACCGCCAAAACTACGCCGTTTGGCCTCCCCTTCCGCCACCGTTCCCGCCGGACCACAACCCTGTGTTCTCTCACCGGCCGGTAACTTTCAATGGTCCGACGGAGACGACCAGCCATCCGGGTCGGTCGAACTGGAGGGCGAAACCCGACAAGAGGAAGGAATTTCGGCGAGCCGACCCGCTTGGGGCTCCGCTGGGTCCGGGATACAAATCCGCGAACCAGAGTGATTCGCAGTTTCAGAATCGATCGAAAGGTCGAAGATTTTACCCCAAGAAGAAGTTCAATTCTCGATTCGCTCCCTTTGCTCCGAGGAACACCACTTCGTTCCTGATTCGCGCCAAGAAATCCGGGGGTATTGCGTCGTTGGTCTCGCCATGTCCGGTCACACCGGCGACCCTCCCGACGCCGGTTTTCTCACCGGCGAGGGAGGATTTGATGGACATGGCGAAGGAAGAGTGGGGTGTCGATGGGTACGGCTCAATGAAGGGTCTGATTCGACTTCGTTCCGGGTCCTCTAAAGGCGATGGAGAGGATGCCGATTCGGATGACGGCGGTGGCGAAGCGTCTAGTGACAGCGACGTGGAAGAAGAGCGCGTGGAAGTTGAGAGGAAATTGGACCACGACCTGAGAAGATTCGAAATGATATACCCGAACTCCAACGTCGGCGTCAGCGACGATCAAACCAGTGTACTGGAGACCAGAGTGGACGAACAGGACACCCATATTTCTCAGCTGGAAGAAGAGAATTTGACGCTGAAAGAGAAACTATTTCTGATGGAGAGGGAGCTGAGTGAATTGAGGAGGAGGGTCGAGTGCTTGGAGACTGATGGTGGGGTGGCGCCGGAGAATGTTGCAGAGACCATTAATGACGACGCCGGCCACGAGGGTTCGGAAAAGAGCGTAGGAAACGGTAATGGCGAGACTGAGGAAGACGGTGTTAGAGACTGAATTATCGTCTTATACGAATTGGTTTGAATCGTAACAGGATAGTAGGATGTTTCTGGGAAAATGAAGCTGCAATGATACCTGTAAATGTCTCTGTATATATTGGTAGGATTGTAGATTTAGGGACAGTTTAATGAGTATGGCGTAATATGTTAGTTTCTTTTGTGATCGGAGGACCTTGAAACTGGACCTGTTCATGAGAGAATTTGCAGGCGTTTCACAAACTGATCTTTTGTTTTACTGGCAATTAGAATAGAACGTTGAGGTTCCAGAGAGGAGGAGCCGAGGAAGGGTCGTGTCTTTTGCTCTCACAATGTCACTGCTCACCTGTGTGTGCGTCTATATAAATGTGTGTCTGCATATGTATATATATTACTTTCACATCCAAATTTCTGTGCTTTCGATTTAGTTGTAGAGTATGCAAAAAATTGTCTGTGTTTTACGGGTTCCAAACACACTAAATACTGGGGAAATGTCTCAGGGTAGTGCTTGTTTGGAGCGTCTTTTGGAGCAATTTAAATTTATGATATTCTTGTTTACGTAAGTGGTGACAAAATTTTTCTGATATGTTTAGCTTATACATTGTAAATCACAATTTAAAAGTTATTTTGAATTTGAAAGTTTTAATCGTTGTTTCAAATAAATTCGAAAACTACTTGAACTTGTAACAAGTGTTGAAATTTCATTTTTAAAGTGGGAGTCTTCGCGGGGGGTAATTTATGGGCGAATCTGTAAATGCCCTTAATCTCGAGTTATATATTTAAAATGAGCTGGCAAGACCTAACTTATTTGGACTTGTATTTTATTTTAAAAGAAAAATGATTTGTGAGGCATGTCCTAATCTAAAAATAATGGACCTATGATTTTTAAAATAAAAATAAAAATATTATTTTTTTAACAAAATTACATAACTTCGCATGTGCTCCCTCGTATCTTTCGAGCACTTCTTTATAAGGAAGCTGGTAAGAATATTGTTTTACAGTAAAAAAGTACATAATTCTGGTTACCATTAGCTCCTAATCGGTACGACGCATGAAATGTACTGTTTATCACAGATATTAAAGGAAAGCTAATTGTAAACACCCATATGATGCTTTTGATAAGGTTGATCTGATCATGAGTATAGATAATAACTATCATGATTGATCTAATTATTAATTCACATAATATAATAAGATTAATTAATTAATTAATGCTATCTCTAGTCCTAAATATTGATTTAATTTGTAATATAAAATAAATTAGATCTTATATTTAAAACAAAAGATAGTGTTTCTTTGTTGCTCTTTATATCATCTTCATGATAACACTCAATTGTAACAGATATTTATCCTTAAAGATATGAAACAAAGTCTACATGTCGGAGATGATAGTTAATCAACTTCTATCTTAGAATTCTTCAAGATGTTAATGATAGATTGTCCCGATAATAATACTACCTCTGGTCCTAAGTATAAGAACTAGTTGACTAATTTGAAAAGATTAAGAAAATAAGTTAAGTTATTTATTTATAATAAATATGTGTTGTCTTTCCTAAAATATCCTTACTAATCAAGTTTGTTGACTAGAACTATCATTATTAGAAGGACTACTTTGAAAAAATATATATAAATACTACCTCCAGTCATTAATACAAGACCTTGTTTAACTTTTATTTTGGTTCTAAATATAAGACCCCAATCCACTTTATCTCTCATATTTATTCTTTTTTTTTTAAGGTAGTCTTTGTAATAATAATAATTCTAACCAATATACTTGATTAGCAAGAATATTTTAAGAAAGACAACACATATTTATCACAAATAATTAACTTAATTTAGTTTCTTAATCTCTTCAAATTAGTTAACTAGTTCTTATATTTAGGATCTGAGGTAATATTAGAGACAAAGTAGATTGGGGTTTTATATTTAGGACTAAATAGTCAAACAAAATATTATATTAAAAATCGGAGATAGTATCATCTATTATGTTTGAATGAAGTTCCAAACTCGAATTTGACATTGACATGTTTATACATATATATGTTTTCTGTCTTATGCATAATTAAAAATATGTTTCACACAACTAGTTACACTCACTAAAAATAAGTGGTAAGCCACTCCTTAAATAATTCTCAGGTGTCCTTGTGTAATTAATTTTTTAATCACAAACTTTTAACAGATCTTTTTTTTTCCTTTTGCATTTCATATTTATTTTTTCCCCTTGTGCCGCCAGGGGGAAAAAAAAGAAATTAAGGGTCTTTATTTTATACTTCTCTGATCCTTAATATAAGACCCATTTAATTAATTTGATTAGATTGAGAAAGTTAGATAAGTTAGTTAATTATACGAAATGTGACACGTTTTTCTTAAAACACCATAATCATCTTTTTTAATACTCCATCTCCCTATTCTACTTAATTATGGTTAAGGGAGTATCCATAAAGGTAATTTAGAAAAAATTAATAAATATGAAAAATAGGTCTTATATTTAGAACCAAAATTAACTCAATAATTAGGTCTTATATTAAAAATCGGAGGAATACTCTCTTTTAATAAACCTTGAAACTATTTACAAAGGAAAAGATGTCTTGATCCTTGGATTGACTCATATCATTCCTAACATTAATACATTTCCCCTTATATCAATGATTTTCTCGATGATAAAACATAATCCACGTTGTACAATTACCTTGCAATCTCAAACTGAAATGAAGTACTTTTGTTGGCCAAAAAAACAGAAATGAAATGTTTTGACCCAAAAAAAAAAGAAAAGGAATTAAAATGACCCTATTTAACTACTACTATTTTTTAAGTGAGTGCCGCACAACTGAAAAGGGGAAAAAACGAAAAACAAACCACAGAATTACTATTTGGCCAAAGAAGAAAAAAAACAACAACAACAACCAACCTTAGCCTTTTTTTACGACAAACATTAGGCTAAGCCAACCTAAATTGTTGATATTAATTATTTTAAAAAATCGATTATACTCGTATAGTTCGAAATTTATATAACTAAAAATAAAAAAATAAAAACGATGGGACTTAAATTCGCCACCATAGAGGTTATAAAATCTGGTTTTAGTATTAAACAATTAGTTTTCTTTTCTCTTCTTTTTGGTTATTTGCCCCCCAAAAATCTGTCTGCACAGTTGAGCCAAGCCAGCAAATTTTCATTCGTTGATTTCCAAGCTTGATATCCAACCTGTTTTATGAATTGGGAAAGACAAAAAATCCCCAATTTCCTCCATAAATTCTTCTCAACTTCGATTCGGATTCATAGAACTTGAGCCGAATTGTTTATACCCCGGATTTTCTTTATCTCTTCAGCCAATTTGTATATCTCAATTTTAGAGGTAGAAGAAGCACCCCATGGATCATCACGATGAAAAGGCAGATACGGATGGTAAATCTTCCTTCCCTCCGTTCTATCGAAGTTTTTCACTTTGTTAAGTTTCAATTCAGTTAGATCTTCGTTGCACCGCATGCTTTCATTTCGAATTATTAGCCACCGAAATACATAACCGGTATTTTATTTTGGCTGAAGAAAATTTGGGTATATTTCATTGTAAGCGTTGTTCAAGACGAATTCTTGAAGAAGAAAGGTAATATGAATTGGGGGTATAAGATTCTTACTCACCGAGAGACTTACAAGATTCGAGTTTATTCACTGGAATGTTTGTTCTGCACGCTCAGCATCATGATTTGCCTTCCATTAACTTGTAGCAATTCCTTGATACAGATGAGGTGTAGTCACTGATGAGATAGACCTGGTTAAAGAACTGGAGGTAAAATGGATCTTGATTTGAACGAGGAGCCCTTGGACCAAACCCCTACTTCAGTGATTGGATTTGATTCGATATTGGATGAGCTAGAATCAACCCATGAACATATAGAAGAGCGCATTAGGCAACTTGAAGCAGTAACCTTGAGAGCCAGGCAGCGTCAGAGGTGGCGGCGGGGTCATGATTCAGTTCAAATAAATAATGTCATGGCAGATATGATGATGACGCCTAGTGCTCGTGATGAACACAGGACACCCCAAGAAGATGTTGGTGTTGCAGTCCAGGAAGGAACAGTTGTTTTAGCAGAATTGACAGCAACTAATGCTCATAATGAAGGTATCTTGTCTAGGGAAGACCCTGGTGCTGACCAAGAAAGAACAGTCAACCATAGGAAAACGGGCAAAAGGAACAGTTCGCATTTAGTAGCTCAAGCATTGGGTATGGATCCATATATAGATGAGGCAGTGAGCAGCACCGGGAATTTTTTTGACTGTAATATCTGTTTGGACATGGCGAGGGATCCGATTTTGACATGCTGTGGTCACTTATTCTGTTGGCCATGCTTCTATCAGGTGTCATATGCTTATTCAAATGTAAGGGAGTGCCCTGTTTGTAAGGGAGAGGTCGCTGAAACAGGCATTATTCCAATATATGGAAATAAAGATGACTCTAGCAACCGTCAATTGGAATTGAAAGAAAGTGGCTTCACTATCCCTCCTCGGCCCCAGGCACATAGAATTGAGAGTCTCAGACAACAGCTCATAAGCAGGGGAGCATCATCGTCTACAATCCAGGAGATTAGGCGATTTATTGGTTCGGCTGCAGCTGATGGAACTCGTTTTTCATTCAATCAACCTCACCATTCCCAGCCCCAAGCATTGCATGGCATGGAGACTGGAATGAGGCAGCATAATCGTTCACGTCTACTTTCAAGGTTGTTAGTGGAAGGAGCTGCTTCATTTTCATCCCTTTCATCAGCATTAAATTCTGCAATGGATTCTGCTGAAAGATTAGTTGGAGACCTTGAAGCATATATTCGTCCTCAACAACCTCAACCCATAGGAAGCTCTAGAGAGCTGCTTGATCCTCTTCCTCATAATGGAGTTTTACCTTCTAGCATTGCTGCTACAAACCAATCAGGGAGACATATTCCAGACGTTGGTGCGAGCAATTCTGCAGCCAATGCTTCTGTTTCTCCTTTACATATGCATGGTGACGCAACTGCTATAATAGATTCAGGTATCCTGACAACAGATAACAGCGTACAAGTTAGTTCAACAGAGCCTTCTTCGTCTTCTAGCAGAACTGTTGTGATAGGGATTCCAGACCTTTACAATAGAGTTTCAAATGGGCGCAGAAGAAGAAGGTTAAGAAGATGATGTTTTCCTGGAGGACATTCTTGCACCTCATGGACTGAAGGTTCCTAGTTTATATACCTCAATATGTTCATGATTCCTTTTTCAGTTTCTTTGTTTAAAGCAAATATGTTTTCTAATTTGTTTATTGCAAACAATCACTTTGATCAACTTGTAGGTCATAGCCATTATCTGCTTTACATATATAGGGTCCCTTGCTGGTGTCAAGGACCACTTGAACTAACGTGCTTGCAAAAATTGAATTCCTCATCACCTGGGTATGGAGGTTCTGGTCCTTGGTTTGGATGGTCATGAATAGTTTAATTATAATCTTTAATAAAAATATCAATGTAGCAAGCAGTATCCTCTTTGTCCAATCTTTGTAACAGGTCTTTATCTTTCCTGAAGGTGCTTATGTTAGAGATTTTCTTACCACACTTTACCTGCATAATTATTGACTTGTTCTTAATTAATAACCCATAAGGACCCCTTTGATCTGTATCCCTACACTGTAGATCGATCATTTTCCTGTGAATAAAACCAGAATATCTAGATTCAAGCCTTTGGACAGTCTTTCTTCAGAAACAAACTTTGGATTAACTTTATGTGCTAGGAAAGGGCATGTGACATCCTAACTTGTACAAATAAGAGTGCTCGTTTGAAGCTGTTTGATGGAAGCTTACTGTCTGTCGTGTGACATTAAGATGAGGTATTATTGACATCTGGCCTGGTGTTATCATTTTAGTATATGGTGAAGTAGAAGTTTGAGCTACAGACTTGTTAACTACTTACACTAAAGACGAATATTGTGTCTATCTAGAGTTTAATTTCTATGTAAATTCCACTAGAGTGGATGTGTGCAGCATCAGCCATTCCAGAATCAAGACTTAAGTTGGTACCCAGTAGTGAGAAAAGCAGAATCGGATCCTCTCCTGTTAGTGTGTCTCCTGTCCTCATTGTGTTATGATTGTCAGTTGTTAAATTGAATTGACATACTTACATTCAGTGTGTGTTTGGGGGCGTTTTGGTGCGCCCCCAAACATCGTTTGTCAGAGAAGTTGCCCAACCGCTGCTTCTCCTCGAACCTTGGTTTAGGGGCATGTACACAGACCTACAAAGCTATCTACAGAATTGTGAAACTATACCATCCGAGATCTTCAAACTTCAAAGGCTTGTATTGCATCACTTGCCATCCGTCATAATGATCCACGGCTTTCATAACCTTCATGGCAATACCATGTGAACCTGCAAAATCAGACCCCACACGCCGTCCATTTTTGGCTTAAACCATTTTCAACTTTTACAATCACCTCTTTCATGCTGAAGGTGCGCACGACTTTAACACGTGACCAAAAATGAGGCAATAGTGGCTGGGCGAGGAAGAAGAGAGTGAGAGAGTGTATGATCGGCATAAGCACGTGAAGTAACTGATTTTAGCGTAAGTTTCGACTTTTGAGGCTATGGAGACGGCATGATCGCCTCATTTGAACCCTTCGATCAATCTGCCTTTGGATTTTCTCCACATATCATAATTAGGTATGGGGAGCTGCTACATTTTTTTCCTACTTCTTGCCGATTGCACTCTCTACGTTTATTTCATGAATGTAGACGAGGATTCGAGCCAAATTAGTCTAGAGCTGAAAAATATGACAGCACATGGACAGACTTTCTGATAAGAGAGATTTGTTTCCGAGATTAAATCAAGAAATAATATCATGGGAGCAGAGTCATGACCATCTCTAGCATTTGCCTGTCAGACATTTTTTATAGTGGAAGTTCATTTTGATTCGTGCATGTAGTTAGTTGTCATTATCACAATCTTCCAAAAATGTAGAAATTTAGTTTATACGAACGGTTCTCAGAGAGAAATCTTGATGTAAAGGAACAAGCCTTCTTGGGGAGAAGTTGCAGCACGTCCTTGTGATCCCTGAATTGGTGCCTGTGAGACTGATATAATCGAACTCCATTATTGGGATGTCTTTAGCTGGTTTAAGATAGCAGTGAATGAACATGTCAATGATAAATTTTATTGAAAAATATGTTTGACATGAGTATATGTATTCATTTGTGATTAAATCTATTTATCTTTCACAGAGTGATTTTTAATTTCTTGTGAAATGGGAATTCTGCAACTATGCATGAGTAGCTGAGACAGTTGCTTTGCGTATCGATCTTTGCAAGTGTTGAAATTTGACAGAAGGCATCAATGAGATTATTTAAATAACTCGACGTGATTATTTGTGCTGTAATATGAATTTTCTCTTTCCTTTTACCGCTATGGAGGCTAATTATCATTTGAATTTGTTAGCGGTAATCATCATAAGAAATGTTTAGATGCATTAAGTTCAACCAAGCTCTATTATCAACTTTTTTCTTGGAGAATACTGTATGACTGGCTTTTTCATTTGCCGAAACGGCGTGATTAAACTTTCCCGACTAACTTATAATCTGGGCCTGGATATGGCCCAATGGACCTGGCCGACTTAAACAGCGAGGCCCAGAATGCTAGTTGAATATGCTTCAGGATTTTGTTCCAATTAGATTGTGAGACGCCTTATAAAAAATCTGAATAACGAATCATGCTATTCGTAACTCGCAGTTCTTGTTTATATATCCTCATAATATATTGAATATTGATTACTACCTCCTGTCCTTAATATAAGATATTATTTGATTTTTATTTTAGTCTTAAATATAAGATCTCGATTCACTTTATCTCTCATGTTTATACATTTTTTTCCCAAAGTAATCTTTCTAACAATAGTAATTCTAGTCAATACACTTGATTAGTGAGAATATTTTAGGAAAGACAGCACATATTTATTATAAATAACTAACTTAATTTTTTTCTTAATCTCTTCAGATTAGTCAATTAGCTCTTATAATTAGGACCGAAGGTAGTATTAATTATCCATTCGTTTGCAACAAGCTAGCCATTTGTTACCAAGTTATTCAGTAATAAAATAAGCTGTGATAATATTTAGGTAAAGAATTAATAGTTTGGCATTGAATTTAAAAAATGTATTAATTGTTAAAATTTTATGTAAGAATATGATACAAGCTGTAACTTCATTCTTTCATGTATGGGATGACACCCATACTTCAATGGGTTTTTTTTTTCCTTTTAAAATTTTCGCTTTAATTGTTCTTTGTTTCAATTAAAAATGAGTGTTTGAAATGCATGCTAGAATTAAACGAGCTCGGAGATTTTCGGTCAAAAAAAATATTCGGATATTAAAAAAAATAAAAGATATTCGAAGAGACAGATGGGGCTCCAAATATTCCCCCTTCTGTATTGTTTTGTTTTCCTAATTACTACCTTTCATCAATTGAGCCTCTACTTTGATTTTCGTTTTAAAAATGAATATAATTAGTGACTAAAAGCATATACGAATCGAATAATTAGGTTTGTCTTCAATATGAATCGAATAATAATTATAAGTAATAATCAAGAGGCGTGATTGATTGATAATGCATTTTCCATCATACAAACAAAGAACATGCTCATACTCACATGATTATGTTTCTCTTCTATTTTATTTTATTTTTTAATTATCTCTACAATCACATATTTCATAGACAAGCATAAACAAATTCTGACAAAGTGTGTGACTTATTTCTCAAATTATGATATAGTAAAAAGGGTACATATTAATCAAGATAACTTCATAATTTTTTGTTAGGAATTAGATGTAATCTTATTCGAGATACTGGATAGTGAATGTAAGCACATCTTTCAGTAAGCATTCAGAACTTTAATATGTTACATTATAAAGGACTAGTTCTTTTCACTGTAATCAACTGTGCTGGTACTTTGTGATTAAGTCCACAAATGAATTAAAATTCTTGACAAGAGGATCTACATTTACCTGTGGTCTGTGGATACTTCAAAGCCCACATTATCATTTCCAGCCCAAATTGCCCAACACTAGAGAGAGATTGTCCTGTAATGATTATATGAGATTCTCATCATCAATGTATCAATATCATTATTCATTTTCAGGTCAAAAACATAATCATTATTCCTAAAAACTAGCAAACAAAAAAACAAAATAGAGAGATCATTTCAAAATTTATATAAATACTCCCCAGTTTTTAATGTAAGACCTAATTAACTAATTTATATAAATTAAAAATGTTAGTTAAATTAGTTAGTATGATTTTTTTTCTAAAACGCCATAACCATGTAAAACAAAGATCTTATATTTTTAACTAATTTAAAAATGTTTCTTTTCCTAAATTTCCTCCCTCCCTCTCCTATTTGATTGATATGGTTAATTTTAAAAAAATAATAAACATGTAAAACAAAGATCTTATATATACAATGAACATTAACTTTCAAATTAAATCTTACATTAAAGATCAGGAGAATAATACCTTAGACTCTCTAATTGATCAATAACCAAAAGACCTAAAGGGCTCTCTCATCTTAGCCTTCGCACACTTTGTGATTAAAGACAACACTCAATTCATTGTTTGATTATAGACTCGATAAGTAATAATATTTTTAAAAAAAAGAAGAAGAAGGAGAAGGAGAAAAAACATACAAGGAATGATGATTATAATGCGGAAGTAGAAAATTATGATGGATGATGTTAATCACACGAGGAGTGAGCAACACCATCATTTGTGCTCACTTCACGTTGCTACTACCAATCAATTAATTACAAACCTTCATTATTTTAATCTTAATTATGTATTAATATATGATCACATCATTACTACGATCATCATCACACTTGTGTCTTGAAAGGCTTAAATATGAATAATCTCTCTGTCCATAAAACCAGATCACAACTTCTCACAAAGTGTTGCACAAGACTCGAGATTTCAAAATCAATTACTCACGTTTATGAATCATGCGCCTTGCCAATTGCTACATGCTTGATGTGAGATTGCCATTTTTTTTTAATTGAAATTTAATTTCGAAACAATAATGATTGCATTTACCTATGCATGCTTGACCGATGAATTCGTCATTCATTACCGTCCCTATAGCCATAGAGAATAGTTAGTATTCCTTTGTGCAGGACATTTTTAATATATTTTATACATATTAAGAAAAAAACTTAAACTATATTAACTCTTTTTTAAAGTATAACAACTTTCTGATTTTATTCCTATTTAATATATACACTTTTCATAAAAATAACTATTCATATGAAGGTTAAAATGGTATATTTATATTAAAAATTTAATAAAGTGATTTATAAATAGAACACAAAAATCTTTTATCTTTACCTTATAAATAGGATCAGAGGAGTACTTCCCTATCTGACGTCGTATGAAGGCACTCATAACTGTTAATAAAAGTTGATCTAGTCGGTAAAGAGTTGATTTATAGCTCATAAGATCATAAGTTCAAATCTCATTGCTG